TTTTTATATTCTTCAAACCAATTGAATAGTCCAATTTATTCAGAGTATAAAACCACAAAAGATTTTAGTCTACAAAAATCAGACACGCTAACATTTCTCATGGAGTACAAAACTACAAAAGTCTTTTTTTTTCTCCAAACAGAATAACGCATATTCTTTATCATATAGAAATGTTTTTCTTATCAAATAGACTTCCAACTATAACATTTTCACATACTATTTTATCAAACAAAAATATACATCTCTCATTTTAGCAAACTAAAGAATTTTAAAAGCAACAATATTTGCGAAGTAAAATTCATTCCTTAACATATGGTTTGCAGATCTTTTTCCAAAGATGCACATAATTAAAAAAATCAAAGATGATAACTCTTAGAAACTTTTTTCCTCCTTAGATAATTTAATAAGAAGGTTCTCTGATAATCTTTAAACGGAATGCCATAAATAATTTCTGTTACATTCTCACTTCGACCTTGCTAAACAAAGCAACGAATTATGAAGAAGTAATGCATTTATCTTCTACTTCCATGATCATATATTCTCAATCAATAGAATACAAAAATTACTAACAGTATATTATTTTTCTTAAAATTGTTGTTCATCTTGTATTTCAAACATACTTAAAACAAAACTTTGAACATCATTGTGAGACAACAAAGTTTTAAAACATTTTCACAACTAGAAAATTAAAACTAGTAGCGAAACTAGAATTAGAAACAGATTTAAAAAAAATATACGAAATATTTTTTTTATAGAAGAATTTTTGTTAATATATGTTTAAAAGAATCTTACTGATTCCAACAAATTTTGCAGAAACACGAAGTTACCAAGTTGAATGAACCAATGAAGAACAAAAGAATAGAATAACTGAAATTAATTCACAAATCTAAAATTTGTAAAACACGTATCAAAATCTTGAAATGTTTTAATAGGAAAAGATCAAGTCCACTGAACTCACAGTGTCCCCTTGAGGAAATTATTCCCCTCTAGTATCCGAGATTTGATTTTGAATATGACCTTCCAGGGTAAAATGATCTCAAGCACCAGAGAATTGATACCAAAAACTCCGGTGTCAGCGAACCACTCAACGACAGTAAATTATTCGATTTTAGTAGTTGAAGAAGAAGTCCATGAATTCTATTTTCTTTTTTTTTTAGCTTAAAGAAATTATTCCCTCAATTTATTGAAAACAAAGGGTAGTGCGAAAAGGTTCTTATTGTGCCTTACCGGAAAGGTTACAAACCTTTGGAAAAGTCACAATCTTTCAGAAAGGTCGTCACCTTTCATAAAAGTCACAACTTTTCATAAAAGTCACAACATTTCATAAAAGTCACAACTTTGCATAAAAGTCGCAACATTTCATAAAAGTCACAACTGTTCATAAAAGTGCAACTCTTCATTTTTCATTCACACCTTTTAAAATACAATAAAAAAATCTCTGTTAATAGCCAATCAAGAGAGAGAACAAGCGATGGAGGAAATTCAGTAGAATATATGGTATTTAGACACAGGTTGCAACAATTATATGTGCGGAAACAAGTCAGCTTACTCCATATTAGACGAGTCATATCGAGATTCTGTGAAGTTCGGAAACCATTCAAAAATTGCAGTTACAGGAAAAGGACAGGTAATCATTCAAGCTAAAAGAGATATATCTCAAATAATCTCTGATGTCCTTTATGTTCCTGAGTTAACGTAAAATCTTTTGAGTCTTGGACAGTTGCAAGAGAAAGGATATGAGATTGTCATTAAAATTGATTTTGTCAGATTCAAGATGACAATTTTGGGCTTAATTTCTCAAGTTAAAATGACTGAAAACAGAATTTTCCTCTTTATCTCAATAATATACCACAATCATGCTTCTTAACAAAACAAGGAGATGATGTTTGGTTATGGATTTTTGTTTTGGCCATCTTAATTTCGATGGATTAAAGACCTTGCAACCGAAGAATATGATGATTGGTCTTCCTCCAATTTCAGCTCCATCTGAAATTTGTGAAGAGTGTGTTGTTAGCAAGTAGTATCGCAACTCTTTTAAAAAAAAGGGGTTCATGGAGAGCAAAGAAAGCACTGGAACTTGTCCATTTTGATATTTGTGGACCAATAACACCATCTTCTAATGGAGGTAAAATCTATATAATCACCTATGATGATTTTACTCGGAAAAGTTGGGTATACTTTTTGCAGGTGAAATCTGAAGCTTTCAAAGCTTTTAAAAGATTCAAAGTACTTGTTGAAAAAGAGATCGGTCGCCCGATTAATGTTCTGCGTTCAGATCGCGGGGGAGAATATAACTCACCTGAATTTGCAAGTTTTTGTGAGCTTCATGGAATAAAAGTCAACTTAATGCAGCCTACTCACCCCAGCAAAATGGAGTATGTGAGAGGAAAAATTGCACTATCATGAACAGGGTGCGGAGTATTTTGACAAGCAGCGGTGTTTCAAGAAGTTTTTGTCCTGAAGCGGTCAATTGGACTATTTATATCCGGAATAGATGCACCACGTTTGCAGTTAAATACATGACTCCAGAGGAAGCATGGAGCGGACGGCGACCATCAGTAGATCACTTCAGAATCTTTGGGTGCATTGCATATTCCCGTATTCCTGATCAAAAGAGAAAGAAGCTAGACGACAAGGGAGAAAGAATTCATTGCAACACCACAAACAATGAGACTTCTGTCTCGCTTACCTGCCCGACGGGTAGACACCTCCCCTTCCCCATACCATAGCCGGAAGGGATAGCGTATCCACAGAAGAGAGAGTACGGGCCCTTGCCCACCATTTAGTTTAGACACGGCTCGAATGCCTTTATGCTATAGGCTGTGTTAAGCATGCTTCTTTGACAAAAAACAAACTCTCACTTGCTTCCAAATCCATCTATCTTACTTACTCAAAAGCTTTGAATATTCTACTAGAAATCTTTCTTTTAGCTTTGGGCACCTCTGACATAAACAGAAATAGCGTATATACAAAGGAAATGTATTTTTATCGGTGTTAGTGATCAATCAAAAGTTTACAAGCTTTATAATACTAACACTAAGAAAATATTAGTTAGCCGATATGTCGTCTTTGATGAAAATCAGCTTTTGCCGTGGAACAAAAATGCCATAGGAGAACAAATTCCAATATGCCTTGATAAAGAAAATGGAGAAGAAGCAATTCAGCCTCAACAACAAGTTCCAGCAGTAGTAGTCCCTGAAAATGCACAAGATAGCAATCTTAGAAACGCTGAAACTTCACCAGTTATGAATGAGCACAGAGAAACTATAGCTGATTCATGTGTCCCTCGTGCTCGAAGAAGTCCAGCATGGATGACAGTTAACGAGGTAAAAGGAATTGATCAATCCGAAGATCCTCGTACTCATTTTGCGCACTTTTCAGATTGTGATCCAATAAATTTTGAAAGTTCTGTTAAAGATGAAAAATGGTGAAAGGCAATGGATGACGAAATTGCAGCCATTGAGAAAAATGATGCATGGGATTTTGCTGATCTACCAGATGGACACAAAATGATTGGAGTAAAATGGGTCTATAAAACTAAACTCAAGAAGAACGGAAAAATCGACAAGTACAAGACACGTTTGGTAGCTAAAGGCTACAAACAAGAATTTGGGGTGGATTACACAGAAGTTTTTGCTCCTGTTGTCAGACTTGATACAATCAGATTGGTGATAGCATTGGCTGTACAGAATTCATGGCCTATTTGTCAATTGGATGTGAAGTGGGCTTTTCCACATGGAGACTTGAAAGAACAGGTATTTATTGAACAACCTCCTGGTTATGTTAAAATTAATGAAGAACACAGAGTCTGCAGATTGAAGAAGGCTCCATACGGACTAAACAAGCACCTAGAGCTTGGTATAGTCGTATCGATGCTTATTTTCAAAAGGAAGGTTTTCAAAAATGTCCATATGAACATACTCTTTATACAGAGTGTGAAGATAGAGGGAAAATACTAATGGTATTGCTTATATGTAGATGATATGATTTATACGGGAAATGATAGATTAATGTTTGAAAATTTCAAAAGTCCTATGATGCTTGAGTTTGATATGTCTGATCTTGGAATGTCGCATTACTTTCTCGGCATAGAAATAGTGCAATCGGTTGAAGGGATATTTATTTCTCAAAAGAAGTATGTGCGAGAAATTTCAGACAGGTTTCAATGTGCAATTGCAACCCTGTCACTTCACCTTCAGATGTTGGCTGGAAGCTTACAAAGGATTCTGGAGGAAAGAGGATCAATGGCACTTTTTTCAAACAAATTGTGGGAAGTCTGATGTATTTAACAGCAGTAAGGCCGGACATCACACATGTTGTAAGTCTCATTAGTAGATTCATGGAGTATCCAAAAGAATTGCATCTTTTGGCTGCAAAAAGGATCCTTTATACTTAAAAAGTATTGTCAACTTTGTGTTGCTCTACGAGAAGGATGAAAATATAGAGCTGATTGGTTTTGGTGATAGTGATTATGCTGGAGATTTAGATGATCGAAAGATTACTTCAGGTTATGTGTTTATGCTGAGTTCAGGTGCAGTATCATGGTCATAAAACAAAAACAACCAATCGTCACTTTGTCAACCACTGAAGCTGAGTTTGTTGTTGCTACTACATGTTCCTCGCGGGCCATTTGGCTAAGAAATATTCTTGCTGAGCTGAATTTCAATCAACAAGAAGCAACAATGATTTACTGCGATAACAGTTCTGCAATAAAGTTGTCCAGAAATCTAGTATTTCATGGGAGAAGCAAGCATATTGATGTAAGGTTTCATTTTTTAAGAGATCTCACTAAAGATAGAGTAATTGATCTTGTATATTACAGAAGTGAAGATCAGGTCGCTGACATTTTCACAAAATCCCTCAAACATGCATCATTTGTGAATCTTAGGAAATTACTTGGAGTATGTACTTATGTGTAAGAGACTTCTGAGAATTAAACTGAATGTTCGAGAACATTAGTTTAAGGGAGGAAATGTTAAAATACGTGACTTTGTTAGCTTCTATCCTACTTTATAGGAGCTTGTTGGCAGTAGGTTTCTATTCATAGGTGTAGTTCTGATTGTAGAGTTTGATTCGTAGTAGGTAACTTAGCAGAATATTTGATCTTTTAACTGTTTAACAATTGAAAAGCTACCAGTTACATTGGTTCCTATTTTTGTTCACTTAGTCATTGTAACTCACTTGTATAAAGAGAGTTTGTAGCAATACAATAAATAAACACTTGCTCAATACATTTTTTTGATTATTCTATGTCTTTCTACTGAATACTTTATAACAGTATCAATATAGCTAGTATTGATACTTTACTTTAATTCTGTGATAATTTATTAATTCGTGTCGATCGGGTATTTGTTAAGTATAATTACCAACACTAGTTTATCCTATTGATGACAAAATTGAATTTCTTGCAAGATCAATTTGTGTCTATCTAGTGTTGCCACATAAGATTTAATTTACGAATAATGTGTTTGTCTAGCATAAGTACTAACACTAGTTGATCCTACTGATGACAAAATTGATTTTCTTGCAATATCGATTTGTGTCCATATAGTGTTTATATTAAGCTTAAATTTAGGAATAATGTGATTTTTTTAGCATAAGTATCAATATTAGTTAATCCTATTGATGACAAAATTGATTTCTTGCAAGATCGATTTGTGTCCATCTAGTATTGACACTTAGCTTTAAAACTAAACTAGCTAAAGCTAAAAAGATGTTCATAAGTTCGAAAAATAATGTGATTCAACATTGGTGGATCGTAGTTGTTGTAATTAAGTCATGAATATTAAACTAGTTAAAGTTATAAAATTGTTAAGTTTTTTAAATAAGCTAGGAAAATAATGTGATTTTGTTGGAGGATTTAGATGGCGAATGTAGTTGGTGGAATTAAGTCATGAATATACTAAACTAGTTAAAGTTAAATAATTTTTAAGTTGTTTAAATAAGTTAGGAAAATAATGTGATTAGTTGTTGGAGTTAATTCAAAACTAAACTAGTTAAAGTTAAAAAAGTTGTTAATAAGTTAGGAAAATAATGTGATTTAGAATTGGTGGATGTACTTGTTGGAATTAAATCATGAATATACTAAACTAGTAAAAGTTAAATAAAATATTTAAGTTGTTTGAATAAGTTAGGAAAATAATGTGATTTAGTTGGTGAATTTAGTTGTTGGATTTAAGTCTTAACTGAACTATTTAAACTTAAAAAGTTGTTAATAAGTTAAAAAAATAATGTGATTTAGAATCGGTGAATGCAGTTGTTGAAATTAACTCATGAATATACTATACTAGTTAAAATTAAATAATTGTTAAGTTGGGTAAATAAGTTAGAAAACATATGTGGTTTAATTGGTGGATTTTGTTGTTGGAATTAAGTCAAGACTAATTCAATATTTACATTTTAATAGATGGATTATCATTTGTGGATGTATAATATGCATTATGAAACTTGTGATAGTTTGAAACACAAGTTTATTGACAGTGTTAGAAACTTTGTTGACCATACAATGACATTTGTTGACATTTTCAAGAATAATGGATTCGTTAGGTGTCCTTGTAGTTCATGTATGTTTTAAAAGTTTTTTGACCCAGATAAGGTTATTGTTCATATGTACCATAATAAATTAATTTATGGATTGGGTGGTATATTTTATTATTCGATTCCTTTGGATTTCCATAATACAATTGCTCCTAATGAAGACGAAAGACGCTTCTATGATCAATTAGAAGAGGTTAGGGTTGAACATTATAGGATTATTGTTGAACAGGTTAGGGTTGAACATTATAGGATTCCTAAAATGATCAATGACACTTTCGGGGTTTAAGGTGGGATGGAAGTGGAACAGTATTTTGGTGAAGCTCCTAATGAAGAAGAAAGACGCTTCTATGATCAATTAGAAGAGTCTAGTCGTCCACTATGTGAAGGGAGTCCACATTCTGCCTTGTTAGTGGCGGTTAGATTAATTAGTACTAATTTAGATTGGAATGTTCCTTATGCGTCTATGGACTTAATAGTTGATTTTTTGGGTGAACTACTTAATCCGGAGTTTAACATACCAAAGAACTTCTATCAGGCAAAGCGTTTTGTGTCCAAGTTAGGATTGACGTATAATAGAATTCATTGTGTTAATGGTTGTATGTTCTTTTACAAGACTGATAGTGAATTAGAAAATGTATTTTTGTGGACATGCTCATTATAAGAGAACTCCGTTTCAAAAGATGGTTCCATTTCCGGCAGTGTATTATGTACCTCTCATTTCTAGGTTAAAGAGGTTGTATGCGTCGATGAGGTATTCCCCACATATCAGATGGCATCGTTAATATAGAAGGCCACTGGGGTGTCTTATCTCATCATCTGAGGGTGAAGCACGGAACAATATGTTAGATTAGGGTTGTGTTTAGATGGCTTTACATCATTCTCTAATGTAGCTTCACATTATTGCTTGTCGGCATTTCTTCACATAATCTTCCTCCTTAAATGTGCATGAAAAGTCCCTACATCTTTCTAATTGTGTAATTCGAGGACCCCATAATCCAAAGAGTTTGATTGATGTCTATATACAGTCATTGATACATGAGCTCAAACAATTGTGGTTTATAGGCGTTTTGACTTATGATATATCAACTAAACAAAATTTTGTATTGTGTGCTTCTTTAATGTAGACAATTAATGATTTTCCTTCGTACGGGATACTGTCTTGCTAGATGAGGGCTGGAAAGGTTGCATGTCCATATTGAATGGAAAATGGTAAGGCGTTCACTTTAGAGTATGACAGAAAAAATATATGGTTTGATTGTCATCGTCTTTTCTTGCCAAAGGACCATGAGTTTAGAAAGATGAAAAATGCATTTAGGAAAAATAAGGTTTAAAGTGACCCCCCGCCTCCATTACTCACAGGGCATCATATTATGGGAGAGTTTCTCAATTACCTAAATTTATAGAAGTTTCACCTTCTAGACTTCTTGGATATGATGTTGAACCTTATTGGACCAAACAAATTATATTTTGCGAGTTGTCGTATTGGAAGGACAATATGCCATGGCATAATCTTGATGTGATGCACATTGAAAAAAATATTTTGATAATTTGTTTAACACATTGATGGATGTTAATGGTAAGACAAATAAAAATCCAAAAGCAAGAATAGACTTAAAGGAATATTGTAGGAGAAAAGAGTTATGGCTACATGAATTACCTAATGGTAGAATAGTGAACCCAAAAAGTTGCTTTTCATTCACATTAGATGAGAAACGTGAAATTTGTAAGTGGGTTAAATTTGATGATGTCGGAGGTCTATGCTTCGAATTTAGAAAAGTGAGCAGATATAAATGAAGGAAAATTAATAGGTATGAAAAGTCATCATTGTAATGTGTTCATGAAAACTTTAATTCCTATAACTTTTAGCCATCTACCAGAAAGGATGTGGAAACCA